ATTAGGACTACTTTCAAATTAAAGCTACAAGCTCCAATCCAAATCCAATAATACGGGCAACTTTTAATCAGATCCATAAGCCCCAAACAAAATCAAAATTCTACATTTCTCCACTTCAATTTACTCGAGATCCCTGATAGGAGATAACTCATGGTTGTTAATCGGATTCTCATGACACTAAAATCAATGGTTATTAGTGTTGGTAGACTGAAACCCACGGTATACCCTCTGGATGATGGGACCATGGGATCTTGATCAGGTGTACCTTCACCCCCATAACTTAGTTTAAAACACTGTCGCACATTTCCATACTCCTTACAAAAACTAAATATATTTCATCTTTAATGAAGAGTGCTCTTCTAATGTGTTATAAGGGGTAATTAACTATAAGGGCTTGCGCTTATAGGAAGTAGAACTCATATCTAAGTAAACCCTGACACTACTCTCAGGAGAAATCTGGTTAAATATTAAATTCAATTTACCTCAGGAAAAATAAGGAACACTTAAGCTTGTGAGAGTGATGTTTGCATACAATAATTTTTCTAGAGAGCACACCAGCAGGAGTGATCTTTCAAACAAGTCATTCATTCGGGTCAAATTGGGTCAAAGTCGGGTTAGCGGGTTCACCCGGACCTGACCCGATTTTTCACATGGGTCAAAAACTACAACCCGAATCCATTTGTTAAACGGGTTGACTCGAATCCGGATTTTCCAGGTGGGGTTTGGGTCGGGTTATCAAGTCGAGTCAATAATTGACACCCCTATGCAGATTAGATTCTAAGCATGTAATATCTTGCGTAAATCTAGGTTTAGGGGTTAAATGTCAGTCTATGATCTTTCCTATGCTCAAATTCATTTCTTTTGATACTCGTGAAACCAACATCAATAGTTTAAGTCAAGCAGGACTTTCAAAGCATAAAATAAAGTATACTAGCCAGTCACTAATGTAGTGCCATTTAATTTTCCTTCTAAGTCAGTAATTTTATAAAGCAAAGGTTATATAATCCTGTTAACTCCATATATATACATATATTTGAGCAGCTTAATGGGCGATCCTCTGCCTGAGCTTTGTTTCTTAAATCATGAATTATATCAGCAATAGTTCATTTTATAAATATAAGTTCTTAGACTCTTTTTGATAGCTAGCTTGCATCACTTAATTATGATTTCGTTCCATGGAATAACACCTAATTAACCATAAAAACTTAGCAAGATACTGCATAAGCAGTTAAGCACGATTTAATCATGTATTTCTCCTGGACGGTTTTATATGTATGTGCATGCATATGCATGTTAGAAATGATCGCTTGGTGTTCTCTTTAGATGAGCCTTGAGTTTATTTCTCCAAACCAGGGATCACCTTTTGTATGATATTGTCATTCATATAAACAACAATCTTTCATAATGTGAGATATCTCACAGCATGTATTTATAGTCTAGGATAAGATAAATTATGTAATTATCCCTGAAATGTCACTAAACCTAGATGCAATCAATCCTTAACACATCTTTATGTTTAACCTAAATGAGGAACCATTAATCCTCTTCTTCTATTAAGATTCGAATCCCTAAATATTTTCTTTTTGGGACGAAGATAAAAGATTTTGCATCTTACTATGTTCAAGTAACTAACTTTAAAAATTAAGTAGGGTATAGTGCCTTGTTCTCATGAGTGAAAGGAAAAAAAGATGAGGTTTAAGCTCTAGGTTTTTTCCCCTTCTTTCTTAGGATTCAAGCGCTATCCGACACCTTATCTTCCTTGCCAAACTCACTGCCACATCTCCACGAGCTTCACATCTGTTTGATCTTTCTCTCTCGAATCTCTCTCCTTCTTCCTCTTTTTTCCCTTCGCTCACTCTGTCTGACTAACACCCTCTCACTCTCAGCATCACATGCCCTCTCTCTCTTTCATATATATATAGCCCAATTTATTAAATCTCTAAAACGACTCGTTTGAACCTCTTGCAGATGATGAAATCAAACTTTATAAAAAAAAGGCCATTGAAATGATGTCAAATATTTAATTAGTAATGAAAACTAGCTTGATAAGATTAAGAAAATATTATTTATAATTTGATCAATTATTAATTGCATTTATCTGATCTTATTAACCTATAAATCAGGCTTAATTAATTTTAGTTAACCTGTTAAAGATTTTAAATTGAATATATAGAGTGTAATTTTAGTAACAATTGATCTAGTGGGGGGATTGTGACTTTGGGTGATCAAGTCATTAATAAGAATACACGTTTTCGATATCTTAGGTTTATTGTTTAGATTGATAGTGAAATAAATTGGTATATTATTAGTCGAATTCAAGTTTGATGGTTTAAGTGGAGGAATGCATCGGACTTGTTGTGTTATAGAAAAGTCCCCCTCAAAACTTAAGGGAAAATTCTATAAGATGGCGGTTAGACTTGTAATGTTTTATAATGAAGAATGTTGGTCATTAAAAGAGAAGCATAATATTAAGTTAAATGTTGCTGAGATGAGGATGCTCAGGTGGATGAGTGACTTTACTCTTAAAGGCAGGATACAAAATGAGCAGATATGTGAAAAGGTTGGATTAGCTCCAATGGAACATAAGATTAGAGAGAGTCGCCTTAGATGGTTTGGTTACATAAAACGATGACCTTCTGATAACCCGGTTAGGAAAGTAGATGTATTAGATTTGACTTATGTTAAGAAAGGTAGAGTGAGTGATGTAGAACCAAAAACGCTCTAAATCCGCTTCCCAAAAATCTGCAACAATTCCTTTCAGGAAGTCTGGAATATCTCAGATTTTCCTCTCAGAAATCTGAGAGAAAATCTCAGATTTTAGTGGTCTAGGATGTAGAGGAATTTTAGGAGAAGTCTAGCCTTAGTTGGGAATAGAAAGCTGAGAGCAAGCTCCCCTTACAGGTTTAGGAAGAGAGAGCTCAAACACAAAACCTGAAATAAGTTTCAGATTTCGGTGAATAAAAGAGGAGTTTGGTGCGAATCCCAAGGAAGGAGCTAGAGAGATTTCGGCCAGCAGCAATCAGATTTTGGAAATCTTTCCAAAGGAATAAACTGCACTTAGGGAGAGATTTCAACAGCAATTTAATATGGAGAGGGGGCCGGCTGTATATGGAATTGGAGGTGGGTTTGTTTCTTTAATTCCCAAGCCAGGCTTTAGGAAAGAATTTAATATATGGCCCTGTAGAAAATTCGGCTGCTATGACTTGGAAATATTTCTACAAAAAAGAGAGGCTTAATGTTAGGACAGATTTCCTAACCAAAGAGGAACAAAGTAAAGTAGACAGATTTAAAAAAAAAAAAAAAAAAAATCTGTAAGGAGATTGACGGGAGTATGGGGAGAAATTAGGGAGTTAATTCCTAATTCTCTTCCACAGATTTTGGACAGTAAATAAAGGCTTTGGCTTAAATGAATTCCGGTTGGCAAGAGAGAGGAATTATTTTCCAAAGAGGCTTAGTATGATATTAGGAAATAAATCATATTTGAAACTCATGATGGGGCCGGTGGCTAAAGGAGGGAGGGGATTAATGGGGCTAATTAAGACTTCTTAATTTGGTTTAAAAGATTAGGAAAGAAAATAATTCACTCCAATTTGAATTTCAAATTCAAATGGATGTAAATTAAGAACTTTCCTAAAATAGAATCACTAATTTAGGAAAGAATTTGAAATTTGAATTTGAATAATTTCAAATTCAAATCAATCCCTAAATTAATCCAACCAAATTAGGAAATCCAAAAGGGGTGGAGAGGAAGGTTCGGCCGGCGGCTAATGGGGTGGAGCCGGCGGCATGGGTTCAGGTATGGGGGGATTTCGGGTGGAGGTGAATCTGTTGGTCAAACGAAGATGGGGAGGTGGAAGACGATGGAAAAAATAATTAAAGAAGAGATAAAACAAAAAAACAAAGATCGAAATAAACGATAGAAGATAAAAACGAAAGAGAGAAGACAAGAACCGCGAGCCTTGGACTCTTCCGAAGACTGACGGGTGATGCTTTGCCCTTCTCCAAGGGACTTCACGCTACGAGCTCGGACCCATCCTGCGGCTGGTGGAAACTCCGACTCCCTCCCATAGGGATTTCACTAACGTTCTTCCCAAAGAACCCAAGTGCAAAATGCAATTTTTTTCATTAATAATCCATCATACCAAATACAAGAGAAGGGGCCTCTATATATAGGCATCAAAAGAAATTAAAAGACAGATTAGCCCCTTGGGCTTACATAAGACAAAAGGGTAAAAAAGGGAAATTGCAAAATTAAATCAAAATACACTTAATAAACTAAAATAAAACAAAGTGATCTCGGTCGTCGATCTTCAGCTCCTCCTCGGATAAGCATGGACGGTTGGATGTCCGCATCAGTGAGACCTAAAAAGACTTGTTTAGAAAATATTAGAAAATTTCTTTCTTTATTAAATTTAAATGAGAATTTAACTTTTAATATCACAATAGAGAAAATGGATTCATGTAGCCGACCCCACATAGTGAGATAAAAGCTTGATGTTGTTGTTGTTGTTATAGATTCCCAACTAAATGAGTGATGGAATATTACTATTTAATTTATAAATTTTATTTGAAAATTTTCTCCTTGCAATTAATCAGATCGACCTGTTGATTAAGCTTGGTAAACCAGTTAGTGATAGTCGATTAACTCAATAACTTAAGAGATAGTATAAACTAATTTTTAATTAGATTCAATATTATATATTATTTAATCCTATTAATCTTGTTAATTACTATTTAATTTATAAATTTTATTTGAAAATTTTCTCCTTGCGATTAATCAGATCGACCTGTTGATTAAGCTTGGTAAACCAGTTAGTGATAGTCGATTAACTCAATAACTTAAGAGATAGTATAAACTAATTTTTAATTAGAATCAATATTATATATTATTTAATCCTATTAATCTTGTTAATTACGCTTAATTATCCTAATAATGGCACTTAATATTACCTGTGCTTTGTTACTCTTACGATCTTTGGATTCTTACATATTATTTGCAGAAATGGAAAATGATATGAAGAAAATGTTGGAGCTGTTTGAGAACAACAGTGAAGATGTATCTGATCGGTCTGACTTCTTTTCTCTTGTAAATGACATTAAAAAAAGATATCATGCTCTGTATGGGAGGCATGATGGATTGATTAGTAAGATAAAGAACAAAGTTCACCAGAGAAAAGGTGAATTTAGTTCAGGACCGTCTGATTCAGGGTCAGATGATTCCTCTGATGAGGATGGACCAAATGAGATTGAAGAACAAAAGCAGCAATCTTTAGAGGATTACCAATCTTTTAAGGAGCAGATAGATAGTTTGAGTAAACGAAATACTGAACTTGAGGCTCAGGCTACTTCAATGCAGACAAAGCTGGAAGAAAGTCAACATCTGGCAGGTGAATTGATAGAAAAGGGAACAGTCATTGTGAAATTGGAAGATGAACTTCAAGCTTTGAGGAATAGTCTGAAGCTCTTAGATGCTGAAAATGAGTTTCTCAAGACACAAACGGAGAAATCAAAAGAGCAAGAAGATAAGTTGAGCCTTCAGGTAAGTGGTTTACGGGAAGAAAATGAAGTCTTAAAGTCAGAGAAAGAAAAAGTTTCCAGAATGCTCTTTCAGGCTGACAACTCCATTATAGAGCTTAAATTTGAACTTGAAAAGATGGAGGATGCTGGGAAACTAAGAGAAGACAACAGTTTCTTGCTGGAAGACCTAGATAAAAAAGCTCACGAAATTGCACACCTGAATCAGCAAATAGGGTTGACAGGTGAGGAACGGGAAACTTTAAGAGTTGAGGTAACAAAACTTGAATCAGCCAATGACAGTCTGACGTCTGAAAATGCAAGGATTCTCTTTGAGATTCAAAATCTGAAGGCTCAGAAGGAAGCTGCTATTCAGCAGGTTTCTAATCTGAATGATAAGTTATTGATGTTGGAGGGAGAGAATGATGCCCTAAAGTCTCAGGTTCTAAATTTATCGACCCACATGCAAGAGGCCGATGATAACATAAAGGATTTGACAATTGAATCCGGACTTCTGAAAGGGGATATCTCAAAGTTGCATGATACAATTACTGATCTAAATCATCAGCTAAAAGTTAAAGATGATGAAAATTGTACAATGAAATTGGAATCTTCAGAATCTAGGAAAGTGGTCCAGCAGGCAGAGGAAAGAATTATGATTCTATCAGTGGAAGCAGAAAGGTTGAAGAGTGAAAACTCCATGCTTTTGACAGGACTTGAAAATTTAAAGCTAGAGCTGGAAGTTGATAACCAGGAACTGTCGAAACTTAAACAATCGTTAGAAACAACAGAATCTAAAATGAATTCACTGAGGGAAGAGAACACTCTCTTGTTGAATTGGCATGAAAACTTAAAGCTGGAGCTGGAAGGTAATAATCAGGAACTGTCAAAAATGAAACAGGCCTTGGAAACAACAGAATATGAAAGGAATTCACTAATTGAAGAAAAAACAGCTCTTTTGAGCAAGATAAATGAGGGTGGGATAGTCATTGATGCTCTCAGAGCTCAGATAGAGGAGGTAGAAAGTGAAAAATCTCAGTTGCAATTGAAAATCAGTAATCTGGACTTTGAAATCCAATCTGCCAATCACCAATTCACTGATGTGAAAAATGCACTTGTTGCTGCTGAAGAAGAGAAAAAGGCATTAGTCTCAGAAAATTCAGTAATTAAAAGCAAACTACAAGAAGCAGAGTTTACGAAAGAGAGATTACAGACTGAGTTGGGGGAATTGAATCAGAAGAACTCAATCCTTCTGAGCAAGATAGAGGAAGTTGAAAAGGATATGATAATTGAGTCCGGACTTCTGAAAGAGGATATCTCAAAGTTGCATGATACAATTATTGATCTAAATTATCAGCTGAAAGTTAAAACTGATGAAAATTATGCAATTGCATTGGAATCGTCAGAATCTAAGAATATGATCCAGCAGGCAGACGAAAGAAGTACGAGTCTATCAGCTGAAGCAGAAAGAGTGAAGAGTGAAAACTCCATGCTTTTGGCTGGACATAAAAATCTGAATTTAGAGTTGGAAAGCAATAACCAGGAATTGTCTATACTTAAACAAGCCTTGGAAGCAACAGAATCTGAAATGAATTCACTAAGAGAAGAAAAGTCCTTGTTGTTGTCTGGGCATGAAAATCTGAAGCTGGAGTTGGAAGGTAATAAGCAGGAACTGTTAAAACTTAAAAAAGTTTTGGAATCAACAGAATTTGAAAGAAATTCACTAATTGAGGAAAAATCATCTCTTTTGACCAAGATAAATGAGGATGGGATGGTCATCGATAATCTCAAAGCTCAGATAGAAGAGGTTGAAAATGAAAAATGTAAGTTGCAGCTGAAAAACAGTAATCTGGACCTTGAAATACAATCAGCCAATCTCCAATTCGCCAATGTGAAAAATGCACTTGTGGCTGTTGAAGAAGAGAAAAAGGCATTACTCTCAGAAAATTCTGTAGTTGAAAGCAAGTTACAGGAAGCAGATTTTACGAAAGAGAGATTACAAAGTGAGTTGGGGGAATTGAATCAGAAAACCTCTATCCTCTTGTGCAAGATAGAGGAAGCTGAGAAGGCTTCAAATGATTTCAAGTTTCAAAGAGATGAACTAATAACTGATAAAGCACAATTGGAGATTAAAGTAAAGGAGTTGATAACGGAACTGGAAGCAGCAGACATTCGGCTGAATCATCTTGAAAAACTCATTACTTCTGCTGAGGAAGAAAAGACAAAGTTCGTATCAGAAGTTTCAGTTCTAACAGGCAAATTACAGCTGGCTGAGGCTGACAATGAGAAACTAGAAAGAGAGAGAGAGCTGTTAAGAGATGAAAATATTGCTTTCCAGCAAAATCAGGAGGGACTGCAAAACCAGATGGTTGAGCATTACAAAAAATTGGAAGATACATTGAGTGAAATGCAAAGTCTGAAGGATAAATTAGAAGTAACACAGCATGAAGTTTTGCATGAGGTTCAAACTTGGACTGATGCCTTCAAAGGAGATCTCCTAAAGATGGTCACTGAGAAAGGTGATTTAGATCAAGAGCTAAAAAAGCTGATTGACGTATCCTCAGAGAACGAATTGTCGCTGAAAGAAATGGAAGATAGATTAAGGCGTAAAATCTCAGATCAGGAAACTCTCCTCAAAAGTTATGAGGAATTGTTTACCAAGCATAAGCAGCTAGAAGACAGCTATTGCGAGTCCTGTGCAAAATTGGACGCTGCAGAGAAGAAGTTGGAGCAAATGGAAATGATCCAGAGATTAGAACAAATCTGTGCAGACCAGAAAAATAACATTGATGAGTGCCGTGAAAACTGCAGGGAGCAATTGGAAAAGCTCTCATCCGCAGAATTAGGAAAAGGAGATGCTGAGAAAGAGATCCAAAGGCTTGAAGTCCAGCTTCGATTGTCAAACCAGAAACTTAAGATCGCTGAAACTGAATACAAGGAGAAGGAAGAGAACTGCAAGAGGTTGGTTGCAGGATTACAAGAAGAACTTGAATTACTCGACAGATATGCTTTGATATGGTCAAGAAACTCTACCGAGTTAAACAATGAGTTCAAGCAAATTAAAGTGGTACTAGAGACTGGTTTGAGAACTTTGGTAGATGAGCTTCATGAACTGCAGTTAATATCACTAGGGAACGTAAGTCATATAAAAAAACAGCTAGCCGAATGCCTAGTTGAGCTACGGACCTTAAAGATTTCATTAGAAGCAGATGGACTGGCATACAAGGAAGAGATCATATTGAAGTTGAAGGATGAAGCAAGTCGAAATCGAGCCAATTTGGATGAGAAGGAAAAAGAGCTAAGGATCCTGGAGAGCAGGGTTGCCGAGGCAGAGAAGAATCTGAAAGAAAAGGAAAGGATGGTTGTAGACAAAGATGAAGAGAAAAGGGAGGCCATACGGCAACTTTGCTTGGTGATCGAGTACCACTGGGAAAATCGAAATTATCTGATCAGGTACCTGTCAACAGTGCTCGGAAGCAGAGGAACTGCATGAAAACGGTATTTATCTCCTTCTACACTTAAAAAAAATAGAGTCAATAGGCCCATACCATGCTTCAAAACTTTGTTAAATGTGTCTTCATAGTTAAAGCAATCAATTATTCATTATTTTAAACTTGGTATTGCAATGTAAAGAGCTATATTATAGAGAACTCAAGAGCCCTTTGATGTAGTCATGTATCTTTATATATTTGTTATTAAAAAATTCAGTTTTTTTTTTTATTAAAAATTCAGATGAGTAGGAAGCTTGAAACTATTAATTATCTTTGGTTAATTATCACAACAATTGAACTCTTCTACTAAAAGTTACCACTAACGAATTAATTATCCTTTCATCGAATAGCATCAGCCCAAAATAACCAATCTGATTGATGAGATAAAGATGGTTAAGATTTTTTAAGATTTTAAAATTTTTAATCACTGTGTTATATCAGCTTTATGAATGCTTCATTGTCGTTTAATTTCATGCAAAATTAGCTCCTTCAGAGTTTAGCACGTTGACATTTTCAGCTTCATCAAGGGATATTCGAGATAGGGGAGAAGATGTGAATTCTTAAATTTCTCGTCATGCATCAAAATTGATACATCATCAAATAATTTTTATGATCAGACAAGAATCTTTAGAAAAATTTAAATGGGAAACTTTCAAAATTAAATTTGGGACCATCCAAACTTCGATTTTAGCAAACTTATACTCCAATTGAACGTCTCGAAAAGATGGACCCAACGGCACCTAATTCGACCAAATCCGAGCCCAAATGGATCCAAATCAAGAATCTGAAGCGAATTTGGAATGTTTAAATCATAAATTGGATGACCAAATGATTTCCAAATGTGACATGCTTATAGTCGAAATAAGAGGCTCGATGAGATGAATCCAACGAGCCAAAGATCGCCAAATTTAGATATTATTAAGATACTTAAATACTCTATAAACGGCCCATGACAAAGGGAATTAATATCGACCATCCATTCGAAATCCTCCGAACGTGCCCTTGATCTTCTCCTTATTTACTGACCATATCTCTCCAAAAAAAAATATAAATAGACCCCTCATTCTTCACTGAAGGGGAGAAAAAAATGAAGAGATAAAATGAAGGAAAACCAGAGTTTTCTTCCCACCAGACTCCTCAACCATCGTCGGGCCATCGACCGTCGTCGGATTTCTGCCCGGCCACCAACTGTCACTGGACTTCCTCCCAGCCACAAATTGATACTGGATTACATCCGACCACCGACCTTCATCGGATTTTCGTCTGATCCCTATTCGTCGCTAGATTCTTATCCAACAACTGACTATTGTAAGCTGATCACTCTCAAGTTCGAGGACGGATCAATCATTTGTAATATATTCAAACACTAGTGGATTCATTTTAACTGGGTGTGGCCCCATGATTTTTCTCTTTGAGGTTTTTCATATAAAATATTATGGCATTTCTACTCTCTCTCTCTCTCTCTCTCTCTCTCTCTCTCTCTCTCTCTCTAAGTTGGATACTCGTGCAATACTAAAAAGTGAAATTTTATACTTTACTGCCTCAAATAATCTAGCCCACAATTATTTAGCACCATCTATGGGAAACCTAATCCCACCATTCTAAGCACTACTTCTATATGCATTGCAATCGTAATATTGGAACCTCCTACTCCAAATCACACCAATCCATAAATCAATCCATGAATCAAGGACACCAAGCATCTACCTCTTTTATCCTGGCGGATGAAACCCTGCTGGATAAGGGACTTCAGGACCCTCCCTAAAAGTCTGTATCTTAAAAATGAAAGAATTTTTAAAATAAGATCATTCAACTTCTACGATGAACTTGACAGTCGGTGTTAACACAACAAGAGGAGATTCATCTCCCTCAGGATCCGCCACTAATTAGGGACATCCGACCCAAACAACTTCAAGCAATACCCTCTCTCCTTCAGTCAAGGATTCATTTCCCATCACATCAAGACAAAACCTCTTTAACACATCGAGCTTTATACATCCATCTCGCACAGGATGACTAACTCGTATACCTTCAGTTGCTATTGTAGGATTGGTTTAACCTTGCATTGATGAAATCCCGCACAACGCTCTATGAGATGAAATGCAGCAATTAATCATAGAAGAGTTTCCTTTAAGAGGTGTAAGGCAATCCCTTCATCCTTTCAGGAATATAAATAAAATAAAATTAGATATTTATTATATTACAAAATGAGAACCTATTATAAAAACAAGCATCAATTGAAATTTAACTTGGATATAAAAAGTATATTGAATTCTTACCTTCAATGCATTGCGGAGTATGAGGGAAAAGTGTTCTTATTTTGAAACCCTAGCTAATTGCGATCTGTAGCTTCAAGAGGGGAGACGACAATAATGTATGGAAAAAAAAAAGTAAAAAAGGAAAAGAAAAAAAAAGTGGGGGGGGGGGGGGAGATGAAAATATTGTTGAGAGGGTGTCAGCCACCAAAGTTGAGATGATGTTGGACATTGTCTTTGAGATGTGGACATGTCAAAACGCCATGGTAGAGGGCATGATTTTCGGGGGACACTAGACATCTTCATTTTCGAGCTTCCTTCAAACATTGTTGGACATTTAGATGATGTCATCATCGTGTCGCCTTCAAGTGTCCAAGCAAAACCCTAGCCATGGTTCAGAAATGTTCAAGGGATTCGAACAAATATTCTATTGATACGTGAGTAAGAAATTATATTTAAAAAAAAAAATTAAGAAATTATACCTAACAGTAAGAAATGATATTTCAAAATAGAATTTCCATAAATACTATTTCAATTGGACATATTTTCATCATGTTTAACCTGTGTTAAAGTTGTGTCAAATGTGTGCTCCTATCTAATTAAAAAAGAGTATTAGTTCATCATAATTGCTTGGTGCTTAATTTGCGTGTGCAAAAGAATTATTACAAAAGATAAAATTTACATGCCCAAGAGTGTGTTGTAAATGCGCCTCACACAATCATAATTGCACATGGCAAGTCATTAGCAGACAATTTTGGGAACCCAAGGATCATTATTCAATATTATGAAGTCAATTTAAGCACTTTCAAAGCATAGTGGAGTTTCCGTTCAAGCAATTTTGATAAGTTTGGAGTGAAATTTTTAGCTCCAATTGACAAATCAGCTTCATAGAAAGTTAAAATTATGACTGAGGAGACTTTACTTTGTTCAAAGGCCCAATAAATCTCAACATTAACTTCCAATGAGCAACTACATCATTAAAAAAAAAATTTCTAAGTTATAATTTTATAATGCAAATTTTTTAAAGACACAAATATTTTCAAATAACACAACTTCATCATATTTAAATTATAATTTTATAATACAAAATTGAGAATATAAGAGCTTAAAAATCTAAAAAGCTCTATAATTTTACCTAACATTCAATACTAACAATCCTCACCAGCTACCCCCATCATTAAACTATCATTATATGACAACTATTATTTGATCAATGTCACCCAACTTTCATAAACTATTCACCATCATTTGAGCACCATTGGCAGACTACAGTCTCTCAACCATTGTTTCATAACTAAAATTGCTCGCTTATGGCCTCATGCCAATTATAGTCCTTTAACCACCATCATATGATTATGGTCACTAACCATCATCACCCTAACTATAGTCTTCTAACCACTATAGATCTTTGATTATCATTGGTCGACTACAGTTACTTGAGCACTATCACTCGATTATGATCTCCTAACTACCATCACCCAACTACGGTCTCCAAATCGCCTTTGCCCAACGAAGGTCTCCTGACCACCATTGTCTGACTATAATCTTGCATCCATCAGCACCCAACTACATTCTCCCAACCACTATAACCTAACTATAATCTCATAAACACAGTCACCTAACTATAATACTTCGACGCCATCACCCAACTATGGTCTGCCAACCACCATCGCTCAATTATGGACAATCGATCGGCATTGTCTGATTACAATCATCTAGCTACTATTGCCCGGCTATGATCCTATGACCATTATCTTTCTCATTTAGCCTCTTAACCATCATCATTCAAGTATGTTCTCCAGCTCTACCATTATCACTCTATTATAGTCCTTTGACAAACGTCACCTAACTACGATCCTTTGATCATTATTGTCCAACAACAGTTGTCTGACCACTACTACCCAATTATAATTATCTAACCATCATCATATAACTATAGTTAATCAACCACCATCACCCAATTATAATCTTGACCACCATCACCCACTAAGGTATCCTGATCATTATCACTCGAATATGCTAATTCATGCTGAATTCGTTGCCCGCAATCGCAACCAACATTGACAAACAACATTTCTTATAAGGTAGATGCACACCTCAACACCAACTCTAACTTGTAATGTTAGCATTAGAAGTTATACTAAACTTCTTATTATTTGGTCTCCTCTCTTCAAAGGATAATGATTGGATAGCAAATGATATCATAAAAATAACTTCAATGGTCTAATTACTCTTATAACTTTCGCTATGAAATTAATCATCTAAAGTTGGTGTTTCCTAATAATGGAGAAATGCATCATTATAACATTTCAACTGGGCTAAGCATGTTTGTTTGTTCACTATACAAGTTTTTTACAATAAAAATGCTAGCTAGTATCTCCTAAAACATTTTTTAAAATTTATGTGTTGAGACTTCATGCAAGACTTTTGATTGTGACTATCTTGATAGTCTCTTGGATGAGTTTGCATAGATCACTTAAAATAAGAGATATTTCAAGAGGCTAGCACTTATGAAGGCTAGAGAACATCTTTTTATCCATTGAAGTATTGTGCCTACCACCATAATCATGGGCATGATAGTAAGAAGGTGTCAATACTGCAATACCTTAGTTGAGGATTTGGTCAAATCAATTAACTTAAAAGAGGTGATGAAATGCATCAACGCCAAATCTAACTCCCTACATCATCACTAAAATTTATGCTAAACTTATTGATCTCTATACTCACCTCCTCAAAGAAGAACGATCAAATATATAACAAATAATCTCCTAAAGATACCTCCAATACCACCAGGCTCTTCCAACATCCGCCATAGAACTCATTATAAATAATTTATATCTATCTGTGTTATATATTTGTATAAAGCTAAGAGATTAAATAATCTACGGTCGTAAATTTTCAGGCACGTCATAAACTTATTATTAAATTCTCACTACATGCTTTGAATGCTTGGAGCGAGGTCTTCAAACTACAAATAACCTTATAGCTAAAGGTATCATAGAGAATTATATATGTTTCATACAACCAAGAAATGAAAAATTATACACATTTTTCATGTTAAGGTATCACCATACTGTGTGGTTCTCCCTCCTTAATGTCACTATTTATTGTTTGCAACTTGCTTCAAATTTTGGAAACTCATTATATTCACAATTACTATAAAGAACCTCTACCTACTTATTGTGATGTCTCTAATTTATAATTTTTTTGTGGAAAATGAACAAAAAAAAGTACATATGATGAGAGTAAGTGGCAATAAGTAATTGTTGCCCTCTCTTTTTTTATCTTATTCATTTTTAATCATTTTAAAAAATTATTTTAATTATAATCATTTTATCTCTTTTGTAATAAATGAGCTGCTTACTCTAAACTCTTAGAATAAAGCTCAAGCTGAAGCTTGAACTCAAATAATTAATCAATCTCAAGCTAAATCTTAAGCCAAGGGTGACTCGAGTTCGGCTCAACTTGTTTACAACCCTAAAGGAGGGTGAGATGATATTATTTTGTAGTAAATTTTATTTTTATTGATATTTGTATTTTTAAATGTTATGTAAATAAATAATAAGATTAGGTATTAAATATATAAACAAAAAAAAGTTTCTATTTATATAAATCCAAATAAATAAATATTTCAGGTGAGGTTACCGCCGCCAGCCGGTTTCGGTTTCAAACTTTCAAACTTCAAAGCATCTGGTATTTCGCTGGAGCACTGTGTCGATGATGAGCCGTTATTACGTCCTCCGACCGGATGCAGAGGAACATCCGGTTGTAAGCAAAATCCCGCTTATACCGAGGTGACGGTACACCTCGATATAGGCGGGATTTTGCCTACAACCGAATGTTCCTCTGCATCCGGTCCACCGAACCAAATAAAAGTTCGTCGGTGGTAACGTTATAACCTTTTTGCGTATGCTGACCGCCTAAAGAAAAGAAATTATAAAACTTTATGGAAATTTCTGGAAGGAAATTTCCTTCACTCACATATGACCTTTGACGAGGGAAAATTAATTAAACGCATCGAAAAAGTTTTATGTATTTATACATCTAATATTAAAAAGTTTATAATTATATAATATTTAAGTATTTAAATTATATATAAATGAAAAAACATATTTTATTTTAGATGAGCTAATGTTATCATTATTTTTTAGACATTGAAATATTAGATGTGTAAATATATATGAAAATGTGCATTTCCATTTAGAAAAATTATTATTAATTATATTTTTAATATAATTTAATGATTTGGAAAATATTTAAATAAATATCAAAATTAGATATGTAAATACATATGAATTATGTGATAAGTACTCAAATACCCCAAAAATCTTGATTTGGAGTGAACAATTATTTTCATAGCTTAGATGAACTTAAAAATTAGATTTCATTTGAGACGGCTTTTTTTTTTTTTTTAAAACAGCATTTTAGTAAAAAAATTATTTTTGTACAAAAAAGATGTTTTGAGAAGGAGAACGAAAGTCGTCCAAAACGAAGCCTTAGATTTCATTTGTGACAGCTATTTTAGTGCTTTATGAAGCAATTTCAAAAAACTTTTTTAATTTAAATTTTTTGTACTAAAAAATTGTTTCATAATAAAAAGACTGTCCCAAATGAAATATTATTCTTGATTTTAAATCAACCTTATCTCAATATTTAAGGTATCATAACCCCCAATATTTAAAAAAAAAAAAAAAACATACAAATAATCCCAACCCTATCATTTCTTAGTTCATCCTCCTCTTTTTTTTTTAATTATTTTGGAAAATCATCCTCCTCTCTAATTTGCTCGCTTACACTATATTTATCCTTCTACGCGTTAAGCCATTGAAGATTCCTTTCTACGACGATTTCCACGCACTTTTCCTCTTTACTCCCCCATCCTTCCCTGTCCATTTTTATAGCTTTCATAACAGTTACATATCACAAATTTTTTTTATATTTATATACTTAACACCCTCATCTCTAAATTATATAAAAAAATCTTTAAATTTAAAATTTAAAGATTCTGGGTCAACCCCGACACAAATGACCCGAGATTGAACCAAAATTGCTGATTTCGGGTCAAAAATCGGATCAATCTTCAATTTTCGGGTCAAAACAAGTCAATCTCGAGTTTCCGGGTCAAAAACGAGTTTCCGTGTCAATTTCGGGTTGTTGGGTCAACCCGAATCTGACCCGGTTTTTTTTAAAACGGATTGATTTGGTTAACCCGAACCCAACCCGTTTCGGGTTCGGGTTGACCCTAACCCGAATTTTTTTTCGGGTCGGGTTTAGATCGTGTTTCGGGTCGTATCAAAAATTGACACCCCTAATTAAATACATAAAAATTCCCCCTAATACAAAATAGAAAAAAAAAATCTATATTTTTGAGGTGCTCTGATTGGTACCAACAGCTAACTTTATTTCATAGGAATCAGTCAAGCACTGGCACCTTAGCCATCAAAAAGTCACAGAGCAATCTTAGCATTGGCGACTGAGGACCAATTCAAGAAAAGAAAAAGGTTTGAAATAAGCCAAAACTAGCTCTGCCCTTCCATAGTCTCAGATCGAAGCGCGTCATCCCTGACTTTCTTCAATGTTATAAAGCCAGATACTTTCCTCAGTCCAGCTCCATCACTCACCCCAACGACCGACCTCTCAGTCTCCTCTTTCCAGTTTCAACTTCCAAAGTGTCCTCTGCTTAAGATCAGATATGGAGAGCGGCACCATATCGGTGCTCGATGAGCTAGCTCAAGTCTATGAGCTTGCGAGGAAGCTCAGTGACAATCTCCACCAACCATTACAGATTGAGCTGTGCAGAACAATTACAGAGGAGATCATCGGTTCTGTTGAGAAGGCCATCTGCATGGCGAAAGCTACAGGTGGCGGCAATGGCGGAGAACCGCCGTTTTCTAACAGCGCAGGTCGTCAATACGGTGACAATCAACAGATGTGTAAAAAGAGGTAATTTGGAAAAACTCAAGTGATTCCCAATGATAAAGTAGAGATCTTGTACTGAAATGTTTGAAGAAATCAACAAAGATTTTATCATCAATTCGCAGGAAGATGCTGCCTACCTGGACCAGGCAAGTGAGTGCGAGCACTTTGAGAGGAACTGAACTTCCCGATGATGGCTATACCTGGAGGAAGTACGGGCAGAAAGATATCCTTAATGCGAAACATCCAAGGTTACGATCCAAAACAAGCAAGTTTTTATCAAGGCAATATCGCCAAGAGAGAGAAAGAAAGCTTCTTCTTTTTTTCCTTTATAAATTTCAATAAGAAAGATAGAGTGATCCATTAGTTGGCCTAACAAGAGCTCTTTGCTTTTGAAACTTTCAGAGCCTACTATCGATGCACTCACAGCAAGAAGCAGGGCTGCCTGGCCATGAAACAGGTGCAGAGATCTGATGATAATCCTTTGGTACTCGAAATCACTTACAGAGGAACTCACACATGCTCCAGTATGGTGCAGCTTCAGGAAACAGACCAGAGCCTATTTAATCAGAGATATAGCAGGGCCCTGGTTGACTTACAAAACAGCTTCAGGATGAAGACTGACGGCTTAAACATTGAAGCTAAAGATTCAACATCTTTGATCTTCTTTCCCTCCACGCCTCTTAATCCTGATGAAGACTTATTCTGCTCTTCACCAAATCTGGAGAGCTCCTTCCTGTCCAGCTTCTCTTCACCATTCATGTCACCAACAACTTCAGAATCAAACTGCCTACCATTGTCTCCATGCCAGAAGTTAAGCCAGGGAAATCCAAAGGCTGATCACACAGGCATCATCTCTATGGCAACTTCTATGACGAACTTAACAATGGCGGATATGGACTTTATGCTTAGAACTGGGGAAATGGATATGGACTTCCCTATTGAAATATCCAACTTTGAGTGGAACTCTGCAGCATGATTGCTTGCTAAGTTAGGCAGTTAGTGTACTAGAGTAGAATTTAGGTAGTTTAAACCTGGCCAGTAAGAAAACTGAGACCACAGGGCTAGCCCAATCCCTGCTTGCAACATAAAATTACTCTTTCCTTAGCCAGCCTAAATATTAGGCCTCGTTCGGGACGGCTTTCTTACTTCTTCTTAAAGCAGCTTTGTACTAGAAAGTTGATTTAAGAAGCACTAAAAAAACCATCCCAAACAAAGCCTTAATTTAGCAATAGCTTGAGCTATCAACAAATAAATTTGTAAGGATTTTTCTTCTTCCAAATCATAATGGAATGTAGCATAAGAAAATTGAAATAAAAAAAAGGCAGTAGGACTACTTCAAACAAACAAGATCGAGTTGATGACGAGAGAAGATATCCAAGATAAGTATTTTATGCTCGTACAGTTTTCTTAAAAGTTCTGTACAGACGTAAAGAAAATTGAACGCATATTAAAATCTCGATATATTTTTATTAAAATATCACATCCATAATATGGTTAGTTTTGTATGATAAAAGCCTAAAACGGTGTTGCAAAATATTTAGGCAGAGACTACTTTACTGGATTCTCTGAAACAGATTTGGGTGCCCTGCTCCCCTTTATCCCAACAAAATAAAAGTTTTGTACAAACAAGTAAACGACTTCACATCATCGCGCAGCCAACCAAAACAAAAGACAAAAGGGGTCAAATACAGCATTTTTAGTGTCCAACAACTTCAAATTTAAGGCAGAACAACGGTACATGCTTCTTATCAAATCAAAGTTGCATGCTAAAGAATATATTTAACATTAATTGCAATAGGTAACAGGAGCATGATATTTAATGAAGTTATAGCAGCATAAAATAGTGATTGACCCACCTATTTGTGAAAATTGCAAGGCCACCCTTTTTACATAACTCATTGAGACAACTTTTTGATAACTTTACACCACTTTTACACTTATATTTGTCTAGCATTTCCAGAAATTTTGAGAAGAAATTTACACAAGCAGATCTGTTTGAGCATTATAACTATAATAGAATTTTTTTTTTTTTGGAGAAACATGTTTATAATGCCCCCAACAACTTCTATAAACTCGATGATTCCATTACTAATTTGTCCACAAAGTATCACACAATCCACAACCGCATTTCAATTATTCCAAACACATCAACTTCTGGAATTGGTCAGGGCTCTCCAGTTTAGGACTAATGATTTATGATACACCATTTGTTGTTTCATTGAATATGCTATCATTAAAAGCCGTGCAACATAACTTTCATTGTTATCCTGTGCATCTCCCGAGCAAATGAGGAAACGGAAAGAAATCAGTATTTGCAGAATCTAATAGATTACTTTGATAAAGAGATAATTGAATGATTAACAATGAAGGAAACTATACCATTTTTATTTGGTCTAAATTAGCAGGTGACTTTAAAAAAAGCACCAAAAGTTGTCAAAAATCTCTTTATTTTTAACCTAAACTGTAATGATGGAGCCCATGCAAAGAGATGGGCTACAGACAACTAGTTGTAGCTGTTCCTAAATAAGAATCTGTTTAACAATCAAATGAAATGTAATATTTGAATAAAACTTAGGTTTTTTTCGTCTTTTTTTCTTTATTCCGTCACTTTCCCCTCTACCAATTCCTTATTTCACACGGAATTGAGTTTATTTTCTCATTCTTTACAAGAATAATGTTCCATCTATCTCTTTCTGTACAAAGAGAAGTTAGTATAGGTCATGCCAGATCCAACTCTTACTGTCAGGAAATAATAAAAATAAGGGATTTTTACATACATAACACTCAAACTAATGGAAATATATGTTCAACACCCAAATTTTTGTATTTACTGATATAGCATATAAAACCTTCCTTTTCATCCATTCTAACACTCTGTCTAAGCCCCGTCAAAAAACCACGTCTGAACAGCTTCCGCACACGACTGTCTTCAGTTCTTTTGAGTGAGCGATTGTCTTCCCCGCCATATACATACTTTAACTTACAGAGATACACAATGCTGGGCTACGTGGCCTCGACTTCTTTAACCACACGTTGAATGGGAGCGATCTCAACAAGGGGCTATGACACAACCTCGCTGTCAAAGATTGACTCTCCATGGTTTCCCGCCATCTGAGTACGTAGCAGCCGACGTGAAGGTGGCTCCTGCTCCGGCCCATTCCGTGAAGAAGACATAGATCTTCATCACCAAACACCACCGTAACTTCACCCAACATAGTTCTAATAAGTTTTGTAATTTGTAAATATCATAAAGGAAAATAGAGCAGAGAAGGAAGAAGATGAACAACAGTGCTTGAATAGGATTCATCGGAATCCGATCCCGCCATCTTTTTGTTCTTCTTCCCCTGTTTCTTGACTACGATTAGATTTGACGTTCCAACAATCTGAAAATTTTGGAAGAATCACAAAAGGTGCAATGGAAATTGATTCGAACGAGAAGTGAAAAGGGTAAAAGGTAGGACCTTGCAACTAAGAGAGCAGAAGCGGAAGCAGTCGAGGAGGCTTCGCTCGCAAACCTCGCAGAAGAAAAGCGAGATTTTTGACGGGGGTTGTAAGGAAGTGGTAGAATATATGAAAAAGGGGGATTTTAGGTGGTATATCAGTAAATACAAAATTTTGAATGTTGAATATATATTTACAATAATTTTGAAGTGTCATGCATGTAAAAATCCCTAAAAATAATAAGACTGAGTAATCAAGTTGGGTCTGCTACTCTGCACAGAACCCGCACCCTTTTGCAGGAGGCCTCCATGTATTTTTAATCCTTGATCCAATTCGGAGATAGAAGCATACTTGAAATGGTAACCAGAGTAGGGCTAAATCTAGAGATAGACTCCTGGCTGTTTTAATGAAATATCGATAATGATAAGCTAACCTCCAGTTACTGTGTCAAGCACTTCACAGTACAACTAGAAGATGTATGCCATGAAAATATACCATGGACAAGGTTAAACATCCTAACTTTCTGTGAATATCAGAAGACACTTCCAGATTAATGAGTATGACCGTAGATCCAACTAAATACGAATAACTCTTTATTATGATCACATATTTAGCAAGTCAAAATGATATACCACAAATAAAATTGAACCGTGATTAATGGAATCATAACGCACTTACCCTTAAAAAAAATTATAATAGCATTTCTAAACAGTCACCCACACGAGCCATATGAAAGCACAGTAAACAGAAGAAATACAAGATGGAAATTCCAATATTATACATGTTCTAATAATATTTCCAGGCATATAATATAAGCCTCCATGAAGTACATACAATATGCTACAGTATGACAAATTTTAAAACAATTCATGTCAATAAAACAACTTGGTTATTAAACAAGAGCAACACTTCCCTACTTAAACATTTATGAGCTTACATAGCATACAAAGACTGCAAAGTTGTTAAAATGTGGGGGAGAAGAATTACATCCCCTGTCATTGTTGTCCTCCACTGCAATCAAGAGAAGCCTGCTCCTGCCAGACCCCATTTAGGTTAGACTGCCACAGCCTAACCAAGCCATCCCCCCCTGTTGATGCCAATGTCATGCCACTGACATCCCACTCCAGTTGCCATGTCTAGGAATAAATATCATAAAGGAGCCATTTATTAACTGAATGAATCAGAGTAAAAAATAGTAAACCAAAGCAAAAGAAAGCAGAGGTAGTGTTCATAAGATGGCGTGTGAAAAAAACTCTGTATTTTTGATAAAACTCTTGTATGGTACAAATTTTGTATCATCAACACAGCTTGAGCAAAATGGATAGATGAGGCCAAGTTGGTTCGGCAGAAAAGAATTTATAAATAAAAAAAGGAAAGAAGGCAGAATTTAGTTTATAGAGCTGTACAGACGACATACTGAGACACAATAAAAGAAAAATCCTATGCAGCTTGAGCAAAATGGATAGATGAGGCCAAGTTGGTTCGGCAGAAAAGAATTTATAAATAAAAAAAGGAAAGAAGGAAGAATTTAGTTTATAGAGCTGTACAGACGACATACTGAGACACAATAAAAGAAAAATCCTATGCAACATATATGATAATCAAGCCACAGCAGTCGCATCATAATTATTAACCTCATCTCTTCTGTTAGGTTCAATTTTATGGATTTCTCCAGCAGTTCTTCATGCATTTTTTAACTAATGAAAAATGAGGATTCATAAAGCCGAACTCAAATAGAGCGGGATAAGACTCTAACTAGAAATTGAATTTGGCAAAATTTAAAAGATAATAAGAACAACAACATTGAAGATATTTCATCATAGGGGTGGTATATTTAAGCCCACTCGTTGGATAACCATAGATTAAACATTAAATAACCATAACTAAAGGGGCAAAGAATGTCTTAATGTGGGCTCCGAAAATTCATCCCCGGCCTCCGCCAGCGTTTGCTTTTCTTTTTCGGGGGGAGTTTTAACGGATTTAAGTTCCGGGGTAAATTTTGGAAGGCATATGTGTTTGTAGATAAGACACTAATCAGAGATTTCGCCCTCATCTTGCGAGGACTTTATGATCTGAGTTATGATGTCCTATAGGCACAAGCCCCTATAGTTAATTACCCCTCCCAGTAACGAGAGAGAACTTTCGATTAAGGCTAGTCGTCAATCAGATACGTAGAGATACGTGTTATCTGGCATAAAGTAGCATCATGGGTTTGGGGTTTTGGAAAGTTTGGAAGATTTGGTATTTAAAATTGAAAATTTTACCATCTTGCACTTAAAGCGGATGGTGGGGGAATGGATGATGGACTAAAATGCCCTCGGGGCTTACATACGACACTCCTTCACTAGAAGGGTACAACGGGAAATAAAAGACAAAATAAAATAAACAAAGTACACGACATGTAAATAAACAATACATGACATAATCAGAAATACAATGAATCAATCGTGGTCGTAGATCGGCGACCACGTCTTTGGTAAACCTTCCATGATCTGATGTCCCCATCACCTCCCTTCCTTCGGCCTTTTAACGACGCGAGGAGATCGTGGGGGATGCGACATCAGGCGTAAGCGACGTGCGAGAAGTGTTGACGACGTGCAAAGGTATGGCACAGGACAGGTATGAGCTATTTTTTCTTCTTTTTTTTTCTTTTTTTTTTTTTGT